AGAGAGAGAGAGAGAGAGAGAGAGAGAGAGAGAGAGAGAGAGAGAGAGAGAGAGAGAGAGAGAGTCTTGTGCAATGTACGGAGGCCAGGTGAGGAAGTAATAACTCTTCCACCGGAAGAGTTACTAATCCTCGTGAGCGCGCGAAATGACACAAGTCAGTGATCATAGATGTAATCATACAAAGAGAGATAATAATGACTTTGTTTATGTATCTGACGAATAAATCTGTTAATAAGTAAATAATGACATATTTTATTCACAAAAATCAATTTCGAATGCTTTATATTTCCTATGTTCAGTATATGGTTATTAATACTTATTATTCATGTGAGTAAAAACTCTAGTATAAAATGCCTCCAAAAAAGAAAAAGGTTAGAATCCTTGTTTAACCTCATTCTTTTTTGAAATTAAATTCATTAAACAAGAACACTTAGAATATGAATAAGTTTATTGCGGAGAAGTTTTTTCTATTTGTATAAACTCCATTATATATATGGTTAAACAGAGCTGCCCGGTAAACCGTAGGCAGAGAGCCTCAGGGAGACGAGGGGCTGTGGCGAACTGTTTCCTCGGAGTTTCGCCGACTCATTAGGAGGCTGAACCCTCAACAGTCTGCAGAATCCCCTAACTGATTACACTGTAAGTGATAATCCACCTTAACCCCGGCTGTGGTTAAGAATCAACGACTGCCCGACAACTGATACCCTGAGGTGGGCACCAACCACTGCCCTCAAGGTACCTGTATATAATATATTTATTATATTGACTGTATATTGAATATTAATATTGAGAACATATCGAATCAAAACAGCAACATACATGTGAGAGGAAAAGTGAGAAATAGGAAATGACAAAAGCACAAGGTAGGGGAGAGAGAGAGAGAGAGAGAGAGAGAGAGAGAGAGAGAGAGAGAGAGAGAGAGAGAGACCGTGAGTGACGGACGGAGGGAGGAAGGGAGGAAAGAGAGGAGGAAAGACTGCTAAGAAATAAGGACTTGAGCTTCCAGCCACAGCATCCATGAGAACACTACAAGGGTCACCAAATTTTGGTCTCTGATTAATTAATGATTATATATCACATGTAAAATCATGCCAGAGCTCCTGGGCCCTGGCATTGCTGTCAACTCAATTCTGCATGACGAATGGCCAATCACAGAAAAATGCCACAGCTCCCCTCAGTCCTCTGCCACTCTGGCCATCCAAGGAATTCACAAAATTTGAATGACAGAACGTATTTAACTTCTCTTATCGTGGCCCCTCCGAATCTCCGATGCCCCAAGAGAACGGGGAAAAACGGGGGTGCCAAAGCATTTCAAATTGGCTGATTACTTGGCCCCTCATAGCTAGCCTATACACATACGGCCTCGCTCCATTACACAACACTCTATATGTATGTGGACCTTGTGGAGCTCATAATCCTCCCAATACAATGAAAAATTTGGGACTCCTCCGAATGCAGCTGGCTCAGAATGTCGTCCAAATGCATCTAGGATGTTGAGCAGTGGAGCCAGGCCCATATTCCGCAGGGTAGCAGCCTGCCAGCCTGTGCTGGCCTACGTCGTCTGTGCACTTCTGGAGTACACTCAAAATGGAAAAGGTACAGATAAGGTATAGATGTTGCTCCCCACCAATAGAAGGAGCTTTGCTTTTGTTATTAAAAAAAAAAAAAGATAAGGTATAGATAAGGTACGGATTGTAACGGATAAGCATCAAAGATTCAGAACCGAGAAGGCACTGGCGGCTGGCCTGCCCGGTGAAGGAGAAAATTCCAAAATTAGAAATGGGATGCGCTGCCACGGTGTCTGCCGTGTGCACGCACAACTCCCGACTCCATCGGCAAAATATATGGCAAAGACATTATTTAACCTTAAAATGGGCTGAAAACAAAAGGATGCTACCCTGAGAAGATAGTGAATGCCAACAGGAGCAAGCAACAATCGCAGCCAGCGGCAGTGAACGAAGTCAGCGTTGCAAGGGGACGCGGGAGGAGAGGAGGGGCGAGGTCCAACTAGCAAAGTGGATTGGTTTAAGCGGGGGCTGAAATTCAATCAGAAAGCAGATCAATCGCAAATTCGCAATCGTTTGCACCTTTCCACAAACACGCCCAGGTTCACGCGTTAAATCAAATTCTCTTTGCTAATGGGACCTACCAAGCCCCAGGATACAGGGAAGATACCAAAAAACTATCCAGCCATCATTGCCCCTCAATCCTCACTGTGCACTGTGCGCAGGAATAAAAACCCAGCACCTGGCCTGCTTACTCGGGGGAAGACGTGCATTTTCAGGTCCTGGAGAAGGGGTACTAGCCTACCTGATCTTACACTTGTTCTTATTTCATAATTTCACTTCATGGACAGCTGCAGACACACTTTGATGAACGCAACCTTTCTTGACTGAATGCCTCGGAGTCCCCTCCGTGCTTCCATTGCAGTCTATATTGTCACGAAAATGACATCGTATCAAGCCGAAGAGACCTTCCCAAGTTCCCATTCACTTTACATTGGGACAGGTCGGCGACTTCATGTTTGGCCCGTAAACCATCCCTCGGCCAGGCCATACTGTAACTGACAAACTGTACTGACACTCAGCTTACTCTTAAGAGTCTTAACTTCTCTTAAGTCTCTGATCGTACCGCACTACTTGTACACATCCTAATAGGCATTGCCAATCAGGGAATTGGTGGTGGTCGTTCTCTCAGTTCGCTGTTGAGTCGTGTAGACCTAAGACCGGCAATTGGGATCTTAGCCTCAAGCGTTCGTTCAAACTATGACGAATAAAAAGGCTTGAGTGTCCGTTTTCGTAGTTAAACTTGTTGTCGTCAGTTGTGACTCTTGTGAGTCCTTCCCAGTGTTCATGGCGTATAGCTGAAGTCCATGGCGGATGTACAATGCATAGGATTGTGTTCAAATAACGGCATTCTGGAGGCGTAATTATGGATTTTTTCATCCATAAAGCATATTCCATAAAACGGCCGGCCCAACGTGTCCATGCCATTCTTGTAGCACAAAGCAGAGCCCATTACACCCAACAAAGCCTCTTGACTCTTGAGGCCTTGAATGAGCACAACAGGATTGCGTTCATCAAAGTGTGTCGCAACTGGTAACCCCGATTCTGCGCACTGTTCATGCCCTGGTACTCTTAACCCCCAGTTCAAAGCAGTTCTTGACCCAGCATCCACAGAGAGAGAGAGAGAGAGAGAGAGAGAGAGAGAGAGAGAGAGAGAGAGAATGAGAGAATGAGAGAGAATGAATGTGTGTGTGTGTGTGTGTGTGTGTG